TAAGTCCATAGATTTGGCTAACCATATTGTACCAATGCTAATTTCTTAGGGTTGACAAACCAGGTTTTCATAAACAGGTACTGTGTACCTCGGATGTTAATATTAGGGGAAGCTACATGATGGGTATGCATAGGAATATTGCATACCACCTTTGCCACTTTTCTGCAAATACAAAATTACTCCAAGAGTTTAAAACATTTTGTTGGAGTATTCAAAGAAAAATATCCTATAATTCTTACTAATTTGTACACGTCATCTGTGAAATAATCAATATTCACAATTCGACTATGTATCAAGACCCTGAGAGGAATATCCCTAATTTTCCCTTAACACTCCAGGATAAACAGGTCACACTCATTTAAATTCATTCTTGACCTAATTCTATTTTCAGCATCTCCTGAATTTTAGCTACCTCCCACTATTTTAAGAATTTGCTTGTCCTGAACAAATTTAAGATTTAAAACGGAACAACAAAAGATCGAGAACACACCTTAGCATTAACTGTGTTTAACTGGGAGGCAAGATGGGTGGTTTTCCTTTTGCTTAGTTCCCAAAGTCTTGGATAGTGAGCGGATATGATCATCGTCATTTGGTATAGTGCCTGGTACAGCAGAAATCTGATATTACCGACTCAGCACTGAACTGGTAATGACAGGTACTATTAAAGAATCAAGGTGAGGATGGCTCCCAGAACCGTGCCCCAGCCTCCCACCATAAAGGACAGGGCCCAGTGGGGGTGCTCTGTGGACCAGAGACTTCGGCGGGAGCTGATGAGCCTCACCCAAGTCCAGCAACAAGGGAATTTCTGCCTTCCCTCCATCAGACCATCTCTGCAAATGGGTGGGGAGCATCCAAAGGAAAGTCTGGGGAGACCTGAGGTAGCAGCTCTCCCTGGGGTTCCCCAGTGGCTGCTCTCACAGCGTGCCCATGGGGGACCCCCAGCACAGGGGCACCACGGTCACGGAGGCCTGGACATCCTGGAGGACAGGGGGCCTGCCCCGGGTAAGTTAAGGACCATCCAGCTCTCCAAGCAGAGCCTCCAAGCCCACACCAGCAGCCCTTTGTGAACACATGTTGCTAAATTCTGGCAACACCCACAACCCTGAAGTACCTGCAAGAAACGTCCTCAGAACAGGTGTCCCTGCAAGAGCCCTGACCCTGGCTGTCCAGCCTCACTCCCTATGTTGTCTTTTTATTTCTCCCTAGATGGTCTGCATAGGACTCTGTTATTTCAAGCTGTAGGGTAATTTTTCTCTCTTTGGTTTTTTAATAGTCTCCAGTTGGGCCCTTGTAATGAATATATTAAACACATTTTTAAAAACAGAGAATCAAGGCGTCAGGTGTCTAAGTTTTGTTTTTTTTTTAAGATTTGAGAGAGAGGGCACGTGTGTGGGGGAGGGGCAGAGGCAGAGAGAGAGAATCTCAAGCAGGCTCCACGCTCAGTGCAGAGCCAGACACAGGGCTTGATCGCACAACCCTGGGATCATGACCTGAGCCCAAACCAATATGACGCTTAACCAACTGAGCCACCCAGGTGCCCCCACGGTACCAAGTTTCAGAAGTAAGTATCATCACAAGCGATATTATCATCTACAAAGACATTCAATTATAAGGATGAAAAGATTTTTAAAAAATATCATTCCTAGGATCAATTAGTCCTGGTTATCTGTTATGTAAATAAGGGAAACCTGCCATTAACAAAGTTATATTTGGTCTTTCGGAAAAGGAAAAGAGTAAGTTAATGGATAAGGCTCACACAGATCTAAAATAACCAAGGAGACCTCACATTAGAACAGACTGATTACTGGGAAGTTTTGCATATAATTCTTCTGTAACAGACACATTTTTTTTCCATTTAATAATTTTTGGCAATAACATCAAATACTTTAAACCACTCCACTCACCTGACTCACACCAAAGTATACGGTGGTTAATAACCACCCCAGATGTCTTAGGGGGACTAGAACTCACCAAGTCCTTCTTCAGTATGAATGTGTCTTAAATGTATCCTTTTGTAAGGTTACATTTTCAATTTTTTAAGGGAGGGCTCTGTATTCACTTTTGAAATCAGACATAAATATTAGATTAGGAAAATAAAACTGCGATAATTCTATCAAGCTGATCTAATTTTAGGAGAGCAAATCTTACTTAAAAGTACCTTTACAATAAAATGTGAGGTAACACGGCGGCACCCAGGAACCAATGATTTTACAACTCCCACAATCCCCAAATTACTTAAGAAAGAACATTCTGGAGGGGATTGTGCTAAGTGAAATAAGTCAGAGGAAGACAAATACCGTATGACTTCACATCTATGTGAAATCTAAACAAAACACAGATTCTAAAATGCAGAGAACATACTGGTGGTTGCCGGAGTGGGGGAGGGTGGGGACAGGCAAAATAAAGGAGATTAAGAAGAAAGAAAAAAAGAACATTCTGATAGTACAGAGATGGGAAAAAAGGATGAAAAGTATCTCGAAGAAACAGTATCCTTAGGACATAAGACCTTTTCTTGTTCAAATCCTTAAAAATGTAATTTTCTTATCCTTATACATTTGGAAGATTTCCTCTTAAATACTGGTGGTGGTCAGGGGGACAGCCATAGAACCAAGGGTAAGGAAGACTAAGGTTTAAAAGGGTTCCGTCAGAAAGATGACAAAGTCTGTACTTGTTACTGGTAAAGCAGGTTAATGATTCAAGTAGGGAAAGCCTGTATATACAGCTGGAGATTTCAATTTATGGTTAGAGTTTAGAAATGACAGCCGGAGCATTTTCCAGACCTATTAAAACTTTTTGTATTAGGAAACTTACATATAAGAAAAAGACAAGGACTACCCAGATTTTACGATTTAAAAGTGGTGGAAATAAATTGATGAAATTTACCTGCACAGTAATGTATTTGTGACATACTTCTGATACCTAAAACCAAACCAGTTAAAATACAAGAGTAAGAATTAAAAGCAGCCCCTCTCCCATGCACTGAACAACAAACAAAAGTCTTTCTGTATCTTAGCTTCTGTGGTCTTCACTGGAAAAGAAATGAGAACACACTGTACAAAACCATCTTTTTACATAGAAGTATGAACAATAAATGCTATCTCTAACAGTTCTGACCATAAATTACCAAGTAGATATTTTTTGAAACAAGCACACCATCAAAGCATTAAGACAGCATCAACCAAGTATGAAGAGTTAATACGAGAGGTGCCCAGGTGGCTCAGTCGGTTGAGCATCAGACTCTCGGTTTCGGCTCAGATCATGATCTCAGGGTCGTGGGATCGAGTCCCACGTCGGGCTCCGTGCTCAGCAGGGAATCTCCTTTAGATTCTCTCTCTCTCTGCCCCCAGCCTTCCCTCCCCCCTGTACCCCGCTCTCTCTCTCAAATAAATAAAATCTTAAGAGTCAATACAAATGGGCTTGTATTTGGTGCAAATTTAATTTTATTAAACCTTACAATGAATGTTGTGGCGTATCATTTTCCATGATGTGACAATTTATTGGCTGGCATCTGAATACAGTACTTCTGAAAAATACACAATGGGGAGTGACAAAAGGGAGGAACTAGTTGTTTAGTGATATATATGAAGGTGGGGGGGGGAAGAGAAATGAAAAAAGGATGACGACCAATTAGTCTCTTCAGGATCTAACTCTAAAATGGTTAAATTCCAAGCAATAACGCTGCTGTTGCAGTATGCAAAAATATGGTATTATCATCTCGTCTGGCCCCCACAATTCTGATAATTACAAGGATCGTGAACCTAAGGTTTCAGCTGGGTGATTTAAAGAGCAACCTTTTCATATAGAATTTAGTCTTCCCAAGTCACAGTAGATGCTGGGGGGGGGGTCTCTAAAATATTATACATTAAGGGAGTCGCTGTACAAGTCAGCAATCACTTAACTTCAAAATCAGAATGGGCACCAAGTTTATTTTTTGCTGATTTGGGTTTTTTATGCCCCTGTCAGGTTTATGGGTAAGAAAAAGGATTCTTTTTTAAAATCTAGAATCCACTTGTCTTTATAAAGTAGACTGGTATCTAAACTGAGTAAAATGACCATTTCTGTTCCAGGAATGACCAATAGAGGAACATCTAAAATTCAGCAGGCCTTACAAGGCATTTTTACAGAAACATAATCAAAATTTATCAACTCCAGCCTACAAGTAGCTCATTAAGTATTAGAGTACTCACTTGTGGTTAAAAAAAAGTAACACATGGACGTATCTTAATTCAGTCAACAATAATTTTGAGAATTACTTTCTGACAAAGGCCTTAACAGTGTCTGAGGTCACGTTTATTAACCAACCTCCTCCAAAATAAAATCATGGACAATTCTGAGCTATCAAACAATTTGTCAAGAGCTCCTAACAGCGTTTGGGGAGATGGCAAACAGAGGAGAACTGTATCCTAACTGAAATAAGGCATTTCAGTTCTCGAGACTGAAGAACAGTTTTATGCAATCTTTAGCGGTGGAAGATACGCCATGTGAAGAAATCCTCAGTTGCCCTGGAGTTGTTGGATTTAGGTTCAACCGTCAGGTAGTGTGAGGTGTGCCTTACCAAACTCTTCTCCCCGCCCACGAAAGGAAGGGGGTAATATTAAATCACTGAAAAATCCAGTTGCTCTTTTACCCCCAAATTACTGAGATCTACTAGTGTCGATTTACTGCATGTACAGAGTTTCCTTTAAAAAAAAAAAAAAAAAAAGCTCATGCATACGTACCACAAGGTTAGAAGCAAATGATTTCAAAATGTTGATGTCTGCTATTTCTAGAATGTGTGTCTAAATCACAAACGGGTTAATCTATGTGGTAGCTCAAACGTTCCACCAAATTTGCCCATGGTAAAGACGGGTTTTAAAGCCTCTTCATCCAAAGGCTGGAGAGCGACCATGACCCGTTATCTCCCATTCACCCTTTCGACGGTGAAATTCCATTCCCAACCTAGTAAAATAAGTATATCTTTTAAAAAAGAAATTAAACCTCAATTATTTAACCAGAAAGTAAGTCTAATGCTTTTTATATTTACTACTATTCATCACGAGTTTTTGTTTTGTTTTGTTTACTGAATAAAGATGAAATAAATCTAAGCTGATTCTTTGCAGTGATGACTCCGTAAATACCATGACATCAACCCTCAGGATAAAATGCGAGCAAAAACCCAAGTGGATCCAGCTCATTCAACTCACAGGTACACTTGAATTTTTTTTTCCTCAAACAAATAAGGAGCTTTTTATTCAGAACAATTTCATTAAGACATTTGCAGGGCAAATGTGCCATCATAAATTTTATTCTGAATAACAATAAAGTGCTGAAGGATAATTACCTGAATTTTTTTTTTTTTTAGTACTTTTCACTTCATCTTTTCTTAAAAGAGCCCTTTCTGTGGCATTAGCGAAGCTGTGTGGAAGAAAAAAACCAAACCAAACCAAACCAAAAACAAAACAAAAAACCATACAGAAAGAAAAGCAGAGCAAAGCTAACTTCCAGTAAGGGGACAGGAAGCACTGCAACCTTTTGTGTTTATTAACTAGGGTGCCGAATAACTGAGACCAAAGTAATTCATGCAAGTTATCTTGAAAGGAAGGACACTGTTACTGACCTTGGATACTATGGCAGTAAATTGCATACAAAAATACCTTAATTATCCTAGATGCCTAGATCGGGCTCAGCAAGCATCATGCCCCTGACATGCTGTAGCTCTTTTTGTAACTAAAAGTGATCGATCGCTGAATAGTTCAACGGGACTCATTAAAGCTGTGTGATCAACTTTGAGGTTAAATTGAAGCGAATTCTCTAACACCTAATCACATCATCAGCACAAGCAGGACAACGCTGTAGCAGCATGAAAGGTGGGTCACTTTGTAGATTCTTCCTTTTACTGCATGATATATTAAGATGACAGACCTAAATTTCAACTGGGTTAATGAGTCAGAAGAGATCTGTTTCCCAAATTTAGCACACAATAATTTCAGTGGATTGGAGAGAGAAACCTCAGAAGAAGAAGAAGAAAAACCAAACAAACAGAAAAGCCTGAGCTCAGGGAGCTAAGCTGTAGCTCTAAAAAATTGTCATGCTACAAAGAGTACTACTTTCAAAAAAATGAACTTTGTAACAAAACGTAACAGTGTTTTGAATTGAAGTTGACCAACTGCTGCATAGAAAAATGTGCTAACATACAATAGTCAAGTTTAAGCCGGTGCATAGAGGAGATAAAGCACTTATGGTAATTGCAAATGGTAACAGGTCCATAAAGGGTGTACAACCTAGCATGGGTCCCTAAGGGGGAAAAAACCGGTAAGTAGAAATGGTGAGGAAATAAATCAAGTGGAAAGAGGGAAGAAGCTTAGACAAGAGAAGGAAGAAGCGGGGGCGGGGGGGGGAAGAAAGAAAAAAAGAAAGACCTTCAATTGTATAAAATTCACAAACCAGTAAAGTATAAAGACACCACTGAGAAACGGTGACCTCTGTCCCAAACACCCAACAGCAAACAGAACCAGAACAGATAAGCCTTTGGCAGACAATTTTAGAAATTCGAATAGGACATTACATTTCTCAATAATTCACAAACAATATATTATATGGTATATTTATATTAAATACTGGGAAACCAATCCTGGAAAGTTGATGCTTCTAATGCTTTAGCCAATGACAGCACGAGGACATCAAGCTAAGTGAATGCTGGTGTTCTCACAACAGTGCTCACATATGAGGCAACTGTCAGCGATCCGTGCTTTCAAGAGTGCGACGCGTCAGTCAGATTATCATCTGTGAAGTGAAACAAAGGTCTCTAGCTTTTCTGGGATATGCCCTTTATAATATATTCTATGATTCACAATGACACGAGCAGCAAGACACTGCAGGGTGGTATGATTTATGGGCTGGATCAAATTCTTAGCGATTTCCTTCTCATCCAGCAAGTCACTAGCAGTCTGCTTGTGCAAGTTTGTGGCATCAAAATGTGCACCTGATTTGATAAGGAGATTCATGATGTCGGGATGGTTGTTCAGAGCAGCGACGTGCAGGGGGCTGTTGTCATCGGAGTCTCTGACGTTCACGTCGGCGCCACACTCGATCAGTATGGCCGTGACTTGCAGGGACGGGAATTTACACACGGGGTACCGCCCTACACAGGTGGTATTCTTGTCCACGGCCAGATGAAGCGGGCTGAAGTTGTTCTTCCCCCTTGGATGCAGCTTAAGAAACCTGTAGATAGTCTGCTTTTTGAAATGGTCCTGTTCTAGAGTACAAGGAACTTTTTCTAACAAGCAAATCAAGTGCAAAATAATGGAAAGAGCCTTATTTAACTGTAACGGGTCAGCCGGACACTGAGTTTGTTTGATAGCTCGCTCTATTTCAAGGACACTTTTGCACAGGATGCCCATAAGATCGTCAAACGTAACGGTGGTGCCCAGCAGACCTTTAGCCCTATCTTGGAGCATAAAGGAGAACAGTTCTGCAAAAGATAACAAGCTGCTGGCAGTCATGGGGCTTAAAGGATCCAAATTGTTCTGCTGCATATCCAAAGCATACTTCCAGAGGTTGATGCATCGTTTGAAATTTCCAGAGTCCGCATAGACAGCGCCTCTGTATCGAATATAATAAGAGGTATCAGGATGAGAAGGACCAAGAATACGTTCTCTAATTAATAGGGCCTGCATTCTCATCTCATCAGGGTCAGCGATAAGGCCTTCTAGTTCTTCTGCACTGTTCACCTCCTTGGCATAATCATAAGCCATTATTAGCGTCTGTGGTACCGGTTTGCTAATTATATTAGTCCTATCACTGTACCTCATGTTCATTGCCTTTTTCCAGTATTTCAAGGCCCCAAGCAGATCTCTCTTTTTGTCTACAAATGTAGCTCCCAGAAGCTCTAGAGCATTGATCCGTTCTGTCTTGCTGGTCTGTGCATGGTGAGTCAGAAAATCCACAATATTTGTGTGACCAGTAACACTCGCTGAGAGAAGGGGAGTCATCCCATAACCATCCTTTTCCATCTTGGCACAATACATAAGAAGCATCTTCATGATGTCCAAACTCCCAGATTCTGCGCAATCATGCAATGCAGTATTACCTTAAGGAGAGGAAAAAAAGAGATAACATATTTTGAGGGACCAGGAGACAATGTAGTACATGTACGTAGCCTAGGAACCTCACGAAAAGCTGGCGGCTCCAGGCTGACCTTAATGGGACATACTTTAATTTGAATATAAATGAGGAAAGAAAACAATCCTCGGCACTTAAAACTAGTGTGACCCACTGCGGGGGTTAAATAAATACTTGCTAAGTTTGTTGAATAAATGACCAAATTAGGCATGAAAAGATCATCAAAGTCACTAATGAAACTCAAAATGAATCCACGGCCTCTTGGGTTTTTTCAATAGCATTTGCAAGTGCATATTCTATGACTAAAAAGTGATGAAATGCAATTAACCAGCTAGTCAGCTTTGCAGTCAGTCACTTAAACTTTCTGGGTCAGCTTCCACATTTATAAGCGAGAAATCTAATCTAGAACATCTAAGATTCTCCAGTTTGAGTCTAACAGGAGTCAGAAATTATTTTTTCCATATTTCTGATTGCCAAATAAACTTCAGCTGTCTTAGTCAAAATTCTCGGTGACAAAGTACTTTTCCTCAGAAAGCTCCCAGGAGAAAAACAAGTCCAGTAAAATGTGAAAAAACACGTGGGTGGTTCAACTGGAAATTTAAAAGGAGCCATCTGAAGTGTCCTTTCGTAATGGATTATTTCCCATTGTAATTTAATTTTTAAATATTCTCTGAAGATGTACTAAATGTTCCAATGCTGTCTTGTTCTTCCCACACGTGGATTCAAATGGACAACAGACACCGGCACATCCAGAAAAGCCCATATGCAACATATGAAGACGTGACAGCCACACAGGTATTTTAGCGGCCAAAGTTTAATGCCAAACATCTCACTACTTATCATAACAAAAATTATCACACGGACCTTTGATATTTACCTATGGTGTTTACAGAAAACTTCCACAGTGAGTCACTGGAGGCGCGGGTGCAGCGAAGAGTTACGGGAGCTGGTGACACTGGTAGGTATCCTTAGAAAAGAGCTGCCTGCCCAGGGCCGACCCTCGGCTGACATCGGAGAACTCGCCTGTTCAGAAAACTTGCCCTCCACGGTAAGGGGGGCTCACTGTCTGTATGAACGATACAGTTTGTGCTGAATACCTGCTTTCCTTCTGGGAGTCTGGAATTTGGGGTATCTCAGGAAAGGGTGCCTCCGTGAATGGCATCCAATAAAAACCCTGGGCTCCGAGTCTCCTAATGGGTTTCCCTGGGGAGAAACCGCTCTGTGTCCCCTGTTACGAGGAGACGGCATAAAAAAACCTGCACACAAGATTCCTCTAGGCCCCCACCTGTGCCTTTCCCCTTTAGGATCCAACCACACGTCCTTATCACACCACTGTAATAAATGTTAGCCATGATTACCATTCTATGCTGACTCACCTCCAGATACGGGGAAGGCCTTGGGGGACCCCTGACACAGCATGGATACTGGAAAGTAGTTTAAACCTGAACCCTTCCCATAACAAATCTGTAACTAAAATTCGAAAGAGCCAGTTATTACACACTGGGACTTGAATCTCTCCACAGGTTCATCCTGTTTAGTCTTCCATGACACCTACAGGAAGTACATGATTACCTGCATACATTTATTCTGACTCAGGATTTCAAAGGTCTAAAATGGAATGGTGTCTGATGGAATGTTTTAGCAATGTGTCTGTAACCAAGCACTGAGAGAGCCTGGAACTGCTGCCTACTAATACTAATGTTCATTTGTTCAAAGTAATTTCAAGTAAACAGAGCTATTACTAAATGTATTTTTAAGGCTCTTTCAGATTAAGAATCGCTTTTCCTCTAAGAAAGAGACAATATAAGAGAAAGAGGAGGTTTAGATGGCATTCTTCTCCCTTTGGTCACATAAAATCAAGAGTAAGAATGCAAGAGAAGCCAGTTTTTTAATTAACCGAACTGCTGTATCAGAATACACCAAACACGGGGCAGGGGGGGGGAATGTTTGGTTTTTTTTTTTTTAATAAAAAAACCTATAGAATAGTTTCACATCTAGTAATGGCAGAAGTGATATGATCACCCTCCCCGGTAATAACTTAAAAAGCTGAAAAATTTATTTTTAAAAATCTGTTTGCTAGCATGTAAAGAGCTAAAAAGAGGACAACATCCAGAAGAAGAAAGAAAATCAGAGAGGTCCAGAGTTTAGGGAAGCTTCCCCCATGGCCTCTTCTGATTCTGGAAGCAGCAGTGAAAACACTGAGTGGACCTTCTGACAGCTGAGCAGGGCTGGAGGAGAAAACTGGAGTCCAGAACCCACGAAGAGGGGACCCTGAAACCCCCCATACACTCTTGAGTTAGAGCTCAGAAGGGCTGCACCGCGTACTTAAAGACAAACTACAAACAGACCAGCAATTGGAGGAACCAAAATCCAATTTAAGATCATGTCAACACTGAACTAAGGAAATTCAGGATTGCTAGTGAAAGCAGTCAAAAGCCAAAAGCAAATACAAATACCGTTTACAGAAAATATTATCTAGATATTATCTATTTACTAGGGCCCAAATTAGTTTTCATATTCTTTATATCTAATGTTTGGTATCCAATCAAAGGAACCACAACACAAAACCAAAGGAAATAAGAGCTGATGGAAAAGCCTAACAGAAGATCCCGCTCACACAGTCATCCGACACAGACTTTAAAACAGTAATTATGCTGAGCAAAGTAAGAGAGATTAAAAAACAATTCTGAGAATTAGACAAAAAACTGGAAACTACAAAAAGGAACAAGATGGATGTTCTAGAACTGAAAATCTCAGTGGGTGGCTTTCCAAGCAGATTACGCATAGCTGAACAGAGAACGAGTGACTGGAAAAATCAGTCAGATGAAAATACAAAGAAAGAAGCATGGGGGTGACAGGCTGGCAAAGTGGAGACACTGAGAGACCGAGGGAACAACATCAGAGGGTTAACACTCTTAAAGCCAGAATTCTAGAGGAAGAAAACGGGCCCAAAGCAATACATAAAAAGATAAAGTCAGAGAATTTTCTGAAGCTGGTAAAGTATTATAAACGTAGTAAGTCTTAGAAACACCAAGAAAGAGAAATACAAAGCAAGTTCCCCAGAGGCACACTCCAGCGAAACTGCTGAGCACTCAGGCAAAGAGAAAAATTTCACAAACAAGGAAAAGGTGGAAATGACCTGCACAAGAGCAAGAGTTCGGCTGACGGCAAAGCTCTCACCAGGAACAGGAAGCCGGAGGACAACAGAATGGTATCTGTATCTTGAAAGCACTCAAGGAAAATAACTGCCAACTGAGAATTTTATACCCAGAGCAAGAATCAGTGTGAATGAAGGACTGTTTGAGGTGAGAACAAAAAGAGAAAACCCATTATTACTGGCAGACCTAGTACTACAGGGTGTTCTTCAGGCAAAATGAGGATGAGCCACATGGAAGCATAGATACAGACATAAGCATCAACAAGAAGGATAAATTTGGGAGAAATACTGACTTCGAAAATAACAAGTGTCTCGCAGGGCTTGAAACACATACAGAAGTCAAATGTGTGATAGCAAGAGCATAAAAGTAATGAGGGCAATTGGAATTAAAGTATTCTAAAGATTTTTGCATTGCTTGGACAGAGGTAAACTCAGAAATTTACGTTATTCCTTTGGTAAGTCGAAGCAGTACAGTAACCACTAAAATAACAGAGGGTATGCATCTTATTACTACATACTCTAATACAGAGAAAAAAATGAAGTAAGAAAAAAATAATTCAAACGCAGACAAAAAAAATGAGAGACAAAGAACACAAACCAGGTAGGACAAATAAAAATCGGAAAGTAGGAGAGTAAAACCCAAATATATCAGTAATTACATTAAATGCAAGCAAACTAAACATTCCCATTAAAAGACACAAACTGTCAAACTGAAAATAGAAATATGTAAAACTCAACTACATGCTGCTTACAGGAGACACAACCTTCAGTACAGGGACAGAAAAAGGCTGAAGTGAAAAAAATTATACCCTATGCAAAAAGGAACCCTAAATAAGAAAGCTGTCTGATATTAAGATATCAGACTAAGGAGACGTTAAGGTAAAAAGCATGGTTAGAGATAAAGGGAAACATTTTACAAGGATATAAAATCCAAAAGAACATAAAGATACAGTATTTCCAAATTTGTTTTTACCTAAAAACATAGGTGTGAATTATATAGAGCAAAAATCAACAGAACTCCGAGGAAAATCAGACAAACCCACCATCACCAGACACTTGAGCCGCCTTTCTCAGGAAGAGAAAGAACAAAACCAATATGGGGAGAGAAGATTTGAACACAATGAATAAACTTGATTTAACTGAGGTATATAAAGGAACACTGGACTTAACACCTATAGAATACCATTTTCTTTCAAGGATATAGGAAAGAATACACACACTGACCACATTCTGGCCATAAAGTGAGACTCACAGAAACAGCAAGGGACTGATAGCACTGATTATCTTCTAAGTCCACAGTGCAAGTTAGAAATCACTCACACACACACCCACACACACCAACAGCAACAACAAAACACTAGAAAAACCTCCACAGATTTGAAAATTTAAATACATACTGCTAAATAACCTATGTGTCAAAGAAGAAACCCCAATGGAAAAACAGAAAATATTTGTAACCGGATGAAAACGAAAACCTTAAGTAACAAATCCTGTGGGATGTGGCTGAAACTGTGCTTCTAGGTGCACCCTAGAAAAGAAAGGCTTTAAAAAGATGGCTCAGTTTTCATCTCAAGAAAGTAAAGGAGAAAAACAGTAAATGAGATCCAGAGAAAGTTGAAGCGAATCATAAAAGCAGAGATTAATGGAGAAGAAAAAGGTATCCGGGGCGGGGGCAGGCGCAGAATGGGGAGGAAGGGAGTTAAAATAGCCATTCACTCAATAAATCCAGTTCCAGGGGGGGAAAAAAAAAGTATCCATATGTTAGCACACCATTTTTCTCTTTTCCTGAATCTGATGTATTAGCAGTTGCC